AAGCGCTAGGTGCTGCACTGTACAGTGTGATGCCAAGCGCTGAGGCGTTGCACTCTTGGGCTGAGCTAAGCAAAGAGCAAGTACTTTGTTTGCAAGCTACAGCCACTGCAGCGCCTAGCGTGGAGGTGTCACACTATACAGTGCAACGCCCAAGAGCTAGGCGTTGCACTGTACAGTGTGACGCCTCCAAGCTAGGCGCTGCAACGGCTGTAGCTTGCAAACTTGGTCATTTTCAGGTACATTGCAACATTTCCTAGAATAAGATGTCAGAAACTTTAAGTTCACATTTCAGTCACAGTTGAACATTATTAAGACAACAAGTGCAACATAGAGGATCAAGTTCAACATTGCTAAGACGTCAACTCCAAGTTCAACATAACTAAGACATACAAAGAGGATCAAGTTCAACATAGAGCTACCACAACTCCAATTCACCGACATAACAACTCCAAGTTCACCGACATAACAACTCCAAGTTCACCGACATTACAAATAAAGGACGATGGCTGGTTCCTAAGAAGAGCTAGTTCCTTGAGCGCTTTTTGGCTGCTCCCCCCCCCCTCTTGCTGGCTAACTTCTTCACCTTCCTAGGAAGAGGAACATGCTCCCGCTCCGGGTCCGGTTCCTCCACGTCATCGACATCGTCATCCAAATAGTCATCCAAAGCCGCCATCCGTGAGGTGCCGACCGTCCTTTTGCCTCTTTGGGTGAAGTCTTCAGGTGTGTACTTGTTGATTCCCGTCCTAGGCTTTAACATGTATGCAGACCTAACCTGGTATGTCCCAAAGGTCATATCATCAGCAACCTATGCATCAACAAAAGATATGGAAAGACCGTGTGTGAGGATATAGTTGGCAATGCATCAACAATTGGATATATATGCTCATGCCATACCTCTTGGGTGACCACACCCACATCCTCATCCTCCAGATAATCACCATGGCTCTGCCCCGAAGCGGGATCTGATGGTGTCGCCGACCTAGACCGTTCTGGTGATACATACTCGGGGTCACGACAACCGAAAAGGTTTGATAGCCGCCTTAACTTTTGGCCCTGGCGCTGCAACATGTACAAGTGAATGAGACATCGAACATAGCAACACATGTTAAGTGCTAGTTTGAAGGAGATGTGAACCTTGATGAATGCTCGAAGTGCACCTTCTCCATCGCTTTTGCCAGCCGGGGTTGTTTCAAGAATAGTCTCGGTCTCATCAGCTGCTTTCTTGATCTGGGCACGCTATGAACAGAAATGGTATTAACGTGTTAGGCAAGCGAAGATGTGAATAGTGTGAATGAAAAGCAAAGAGGGAAAATACCACAAAGTTCATCATTGGAGCTGAAGGAATCACTGGGTTGCCTTTCCTGACTAATGCGTTCTACTGGTGTTGGGCTACCTCATCAAAAACAGTGGGTTCTTCCAAAATCTCCTCAGCATACGCCGTCTTGCATACCTCCACACGGGTACTTGCAAGAAACCATGTGAGATAGTTGTTGAACGCTACAGGGCAGTGCCCACGAAGCTGGACTCCTTTTCCAGCCCTAGCTTGCTCCACACTAAGCGCAAATTGTACGACATACTTTCTATGATGCTTGTCCCAATCCTTAATCTTCCACTGCCTTTTCCTATCCAACCTGCAAGTTAGAAACATAATATTAGTAGCATTGAAACCGCCGAGAAGCTGCTAAGTACTCAAGGTTAATTATATCTTACGCATGTAGCAACTTGTCCGTGTCCTCCCACTCCGGCGGATGTGCCTGGAACAAACCAAACTGACGACGCACTCGATGTGGGAGGTGAAGCTCAACCGCCCAGTTGCATATGAGTGGGCACCGCATACGCCAGAGATCCCTATCCCTAGTGCACATCGGATTCAGCCTGAACTCTAAAGGGTTACCAAAACTATCTCATGTTCCATACGGCTCCCATATCACCTGCAAAATGGGATAGAATGCAAAATTGATATCGACTTGCAATAGAAGCATTATAATCACTTATGCAATGTCAATTCACCTGCTCAGGCGTGATCGCGTCAAGCTCGCTCTGGTACAACTTGTACATGACCGAGGGATCATCTGTCGTTTCATTTAACACATCCCACTTGTAATCCCAAGTGGGTAGCCGTAGTAGGTCGCCTTTGTCGTCCCAATCATCGTACTTCAGGGTCTTCGGACGTCCAACCGGCAAACGCTCCCAGCTTCATATGGAAAGTGCGAGCAAACAACCACCAATACCTCCAGATGACATACAACAGGCTTCGTCCAACTGCACATAAAAGAGAACATGGTTCAATTAAGAGCAAGATCGCATTCATAATGTAGCAATGAAGTCAAAAGGAAACAACTTCATACCTGTCTATACAAGTAAGCCAGTGTCGCCGAACCCCAACTCCAATTGCTATCGAAGACGGTCAACGCCTTCAGCCACATCCATGGAGCATTCTTGCCTGTGCCATCAGCAAACATAGTCCTGGATATCACATACCACATGTAGACACGAGCATATGTCTTGATCGTGTCCTCATCAGCTTCCCGTGGGCAAGTACCAAAGTGCTCAGTAATCCACGTGAAAGTAGCACCGGCTGCGACTCTTTCCTTCTTCTTGTCTCCTGCTGCTGGTTCCGGAGGCTCCGGAGGAACCATACCGATAAGGGCATGCATCTGCGCACGCCACCCATCGAAATCGGTGCTCATACATAGAGGATTCCCATCGATAGCAAGACCGGTGATCATAGCAATATCCTGGAGCGTCACGGTCATCTCCCCGGTCCGTAGATGGAAACTATGTGTCTCCGGCCGCCAATGATCAATAAGCGCGGTGAGTGCTGGAGCATTGTTGGGTGGCGTCGACCGTCTGACCATATGAATGAAAGGGAGAAGTCCTGTCTCCCTTACATACGGTGTGTATCGCTCATCATAGAGCACCCACCCAAGGGTGACCCCGTGAGAACGAAGCTTCAAAGGTGCAAGCTCCTACAAACAAACAATTCATAACATTACATATGGGGCATTTGTGTTTGAAATAAATACGAAATTCATAAAACAGGCCACTTTCATTATTACCCGCTGCTCCACCGCCATAGCGTACGACCGGTGTTGTTTGTCCCAGTGATCATCGAGAAGCCAAACCATCCTAACAATTTTGAAAGAAAGCTTTCTTGTCAACACGATTATCTTTTGAATACAAATAAACTAAAGTATGCCTACTAGATGCAACCGTACCAATCTATGTATCCAACCATATCAAATCAAACAAAACTAATAAACTAGGATTTCACAAATAACTAGGCCTACTTCATAGAAATAACTTTTCCATAAACTATGCCTACTTCATACAAATAACTCTTCCATAAACTAAACTAGGGTTCCACAAATCAAACAAACAAGGGTTGTAATACATGCAAAGTTCTAATACATGCAAGATTCAAATCTAATCTAATCAAACAAGGATTCCCCAAATCTTCAAAATATCATATTTTCTATGGATAGAAAGAAGGGGATCGGAGGAGAGTACATTCTAGGATGGATTGGTGAAGAAATGCACGGACCAAATTGTCGGATCTGAAGGATTTGGGAGAGGGTATTGAGAGGGGGAGAGGAGGAAGCCGCCAGCGCGCCTGTTCTGTAACTCCTGGAACGAATGGGTGCGGTGGGGGGAGGGGGAGGGGGCGACTGGCATCTAAGTCACAGTGCAGCGCCTACGGGCCGGGCGCTGCACATTACATGTGTGGCGCCTAGCTCGGAGGCGCTGCACTAATGGGTGCGGGCCCATGGGCTGCCACGGTGGACTGGAGTGCAACGCCCCCGAGCTAGGCGCTGCACCGTAGGGTGTGACGCCGTCGTGGCAGGCGCTACACGAAAAGGTCAATGCTGTGAAATAGTTTCACGGGCATTTCATTCCGTGAATTGATTTCGTCCCAAGGTCAAAATTATCAAATTTGCCCCAAAGAGTGAGCAGGATCATTGATTTTAAACCCCGTCTGTCCGCTGGTGTAGCAGCGGCATCCCAACCACTCTCCCATTTTGACCAAACTTCAGTGGAGATGATGCACTGTCAAAACAAATGCTCAGAAGATTCTATGTTCTCGATGCACATTTGGCAGAAATACTCATTTAGCCAGCCTCTTCTCTACAGCCTGTCATTGCACCATAGACGGTTTTTGTATAGCAGCCATGCAAAGACTTTGAGAACTGTGATTGTAGATGCTCCTTCTTTACTAGTACAAGTCTACAACTACCTTCCCGTGGCCACATTGTCTGGTGGGAGATGTTTTCTCTCTCACACACACAGCTACTCACATATGTTTATTTGTCTCTAGTCTAGCTCTCTGTCTCTACGCTCATATTTATTTCTCTCCACTGTAGCGCGTGCTCTGTCTCGTAGCACATCTCTCTCTCTCTCTCTCTGACCAAACATCAGTTATATCAGAGCTACCCCCACCCGCCCGCCCCTCCCCGGCCCGCGCCCTCTATAAGTTGGAGTGCCCGGCACCAGTGTAGCCACACAGCGCGCAGGGGATTGCTAATGGTTTAGCGTTAGCATCCCTCTCTCTGTTTCCAATTTTTTATTTATGTTCATCTTGCAATGCATTGTTAGTTACCTCTAACAGTCCATCTTTTCCATCTCTTCTTGCAGATCTAGAGATTTCATCCAAGTGTGTTGAGGTTTCTCATCCTCTCTCAAGTGTTCCTCCCTCTCTCCTCCTCTCATTTTTCTTGTTTTCCATTTTCTTATTCATAGTTTTGGATTATGGTTTAGGGTTAGCTTTCGCCTCTCTATTTCTTTTTTTATTGATGTTCTTCTTGCACTGCACTGTTAGTCACCTCTAACAGTCCATCTCTCTCTTGCAGATCTAGAGATCCCTGCTGTGTTGTGATTTTTCATCGTGTTGAGGTTTCTTATCCTTCGTGCTCCTCTCTCTTCGCTGCTACCTCTCTCTTTTTTACTTTTTCTTGTTCATAGTTTTGGATTAATCCATTTCTTTGCTCACCCCACCTCTACAGATGCATCGGCCGCGAAACTCTTGGTGGATTAAAGCAGATGGTGCTGAAACTCGTAAGGTTAGTACAAACTACAGCAAACTCTTTGCTTCCTTTTTTCTCTTTCTATGGATGCATTAGCTATGCTCTTACTTTGTTATTTCGTCAATTATTATGTAGACGCTGGAAGGACAGAGACAATTCAATATCGACTTGCATAAGGCGCAACAAAGCCTCAGAACTGCACGAAACAATGCGCCAAACCTGAAGAAGGTAACTGAGTACATTTTCAGTGCTTAGCTTAAAAATACCAACAGTTTCAATTTAGTAGTGCTTAGCCTAAAATGCCAACTACTACATTGGTTGAATGCAACTTTTTTAGTGCTTAGCGTAAAAATGAACTCCAATTTAGAAGTGCTTAGCAGTTAGCATAGTAATGACAACTTTTCAAGCATTTAGTAGTGCTTACTGTAAAAATAAGCTACAGCCAATTTAGCAGTGCTTACTGTAAACTTTTTACTTAACCAATTTAGTCTTGCATTCACATATTATTGGTCTTTTTTCTCTTTCTATGGATGCATTAGCTATGTTAAAAATATTCTGGATTAAGAAAATGCCAACTTATAACACTCAACCACTTAAAAATTAGTTAGTGAGTATTTTTAATATGCATGGTCCAACTTATGTATGTTTCACAATGCACTGTAAGAGATCCCTAAAATAAGGATTCAGTTTACTCTATTGCATACATTCAATCTTAACATGTAAGTGCCATATGTACATAATCTTTCTCTCTTTATATGGTGTTACGCACACTTCGTGCTGTCTGCTCTAACAAAAAAAAAAGTCTGTCCAAGAACACGGCAACACATGGTTGCTTTGTAAAAAGAAATTTAGCAAAGTTAATTTGAGTGTTCTTATGATTTTGTCAACGAGCATTCACTATTATAATATGCATTTTCATACTATATATCACATAGACTAAAACTGGGGTATAATTAGGTATGTTTATTTTTTGTCCTTGCCTTAAAAAAATAAAGAAAGGAATAGATTATTGTAATTGTCTTTTTTACCCTCACAATGTAATTGCATTGCATAAAGGTTCATAACACTTAGGAGCAACTTAAAATGATTTACAAATCTTTTAATTGTGCATGACAAGCCCACCAACCATTTCTCCTTCAAACAGATGTTCTAAAGGCCACAAAACTATCAAAGTATCTTTCAAACCATGCATCCGAGTACTCCACTGCTTTGGTGGTTCTGGGGCAAAGCCATCGAAGAGGCTTTCAGTCCCCAACCACACATGTGATGTGCTCAACTACAATCGTGAACCATATGTACCACTTAGGCCATGCATTGCTGTTTATAGCAAAAACCTTATAGACCAAGAGGTTAGCTAAGTTTATGACAAGAAATGGTGGGGGCATAGAACTTCACAAGCTCGTGAAGAAAACCTAGAGTGCTCCATGACCTCTCTGGATGGAAAGGGAACTCCATAGCATTCATGGTGCTGGACTGCTGGTGCTATAGAAGGAAATTGTGCTGAAGGGGTCTTCGCCAAGTGAACCTTCACCATCCAGCGCATGTCTTGATCAGATGTTTCCCTTTGCTAAGAACACATCGTTTAACTCTTTCTCTTTGAGCTTCTATCAATCATGCATTTTAAAACAAGAAAGCTATGTAGTCCAACTTGATCCAAACTAGAAAAAAAATCTGCTCCGGCAACCCTACCAAAGCAGAGCCCTACCCGTTGATTAGAGGTCATAGCCTCCGCCAGCGTCAACGGGTGAAGGAATCGGACCCTAGAGAAATAGAAATTGGGGGCGCCACCAGCTAGTATATATATGCAATCATAAGTTATATTACCTCCATTTCTTTTTTACTATGGCTGTGTGCATAGATCCTCCTTTACCAAAAAATAAACTTCTTTACTTCCATGTTAAGTCACACAAAAAAGCTTTACTTGTCTTTTTTTGGGCAACACACAAAATTGAGCACAATTTTTTTTCTGCCATAGAAATGCATCGTAAATTCTATCAAATGTATTTCAGAAAAATATATTCTATGGAACGTGCAGTAAAAAGGCCATGCCTACTTCCATTTGGATCTTGTCCTAAACTACAGATATATTTTTGGATGTTAGGCTCATATATAGAATTGTTAAAAGCCAATTAGTTCCCCTATGTTTTCCTAACTAAGCCAAGTTCACTCTAATGATCATTGCATAAAATCTGCATTGCCTAGGTTGTAATCAAATTCCATAACCACAAAAACTAGACCGAAATTTCTGCTAGACTAGATCTTAATAACAAAAGATTCTTACGTAGATATATAAGAGAATGTTAGTTGTATAGTATTAATCGAAACCACAAATTCTTGTCTATCAAAACACATTTTATTTAGTAGTATTCCATAGAGTAAGCAAATGTATTTATTTAATTACACATCCACTCTAACCTCTAACTAACAACACATGCATTCATGCAGAGAGTCTTGGGTGGGTTTGTTAAAACCTTCGAGTACGACTGTGATGATGAAGCCATTGGCAATGTTCATAACGGCACGATGATAATTGCGTACGATGATGGTATTGAGCAACCTCATGAAATCAGAGTAGTGATCTTAGAGGATTGGGCCAACGCTAGTGAGATCGGAGATGCAATTGTGGCGCATACTGAAAAACTTTCTAGCTTTGGTGGTGACTTACTTGTGCAAGCATATTTCAGTACTTTTTGCCACAATGCTAAGAGATACATAGTGGCCTATGAGCCATTCGTTCCCGCCTCAATTCAGGGAATAAGGAGTGAACCATTTTTTGCTCATGATGAGCTAGAGTTGTCAGAATGTTGGCGGGAGAGGATGAGGTGCGTTGTCTTATATACAATTAATATGTTGACTCATGTTTAGAGATAGATGATTCATTCTTGTGTTTCTTTGGGATCACGCAGGTCATTCATAGAACTTCTCCATATCGCGGCACAGTGCAATATCAGACATGGAGGCCTCTCGGAGCTTGCCAACTATGTGACTTGTCGAGATGGGCTGAAGATAATTAATATGGGGCGATATTCTCACATTGTTGGGAGAGAAAGAGACATGAAGCAGCTTATGGATTTTGTAACCACACTATTCCCTGGGAGTTTGACTCATCCCGAGTGGAGAACCCTTGTTGATCTTCTCCTCTCAACGACCATGCGGTACTATTTCTGCCATATCTCATAACACAGCTTAGTAGTACAGCACAATGTGGAAAATAAATTAAATTAAATATGTAAATTATAGCCTTAATGAAAGTACTATCTCAAGTATACGTAGTAGACTTATTACTAAAAAGACTTGTTTTACTAATTAATCTTTTTGTATCTACCCCTGCGTAACTAACTAATATTCGGGTATGCATGCAGGGACCCACTTAGAATTGATTCATATTACGGTCCTAACTGGCTAGAAGTTGTCTTGCGGCACCCAATTTTATTGGGCACCGCCGAAGAAAAATTGGAGTGCTTTGTAGCTCTCCACATGGATGTAATGCGTCTGGACAATGCAGGGAAAGCTAGGTTCTCAAATTGGATTCACTATCGCTACCAGGCATTTAAATGGTACTTCTGGCATGACTTCGATAATGAACCAGAACGTGACCATGATCTCCGTTCTAGAGTTGTTCCCTGGAACCGTCTCTACTACAGGCTCTTCACGTTCATCCCCCTTGGAAGTAATAAGCAACTCAAAGAAAACAGGGACTTCACAGCTTTCAGGCATGGATCCCAGTTTCGAAAGAATTTGTTCTTTGAGGACCCTATTGATGGGAGTTGGTCAGCTAACTATGGTACAAGATACTGCTATCTCAATATTATTAGGTTGGTTAAGAACCTGATAAACCATGGAGGTGACTACGATCAGGTATACACCTAAGCCACGTGATTTATTTTTTTCTCATTCTTTGCATCCCATTGTTTTCCGGATTCTGCTTCTAATAACTAAATTAGTACTGTCAATCAATCTTTCAGGATTTGCATGATAAGAACAATATGCTCATAGAGATCAGAACTCGATTCCAACATTTTATGAGTGCTTGCTACACCGTCATAAACATGACGGATGATTGGATTCATGATTGGACGACCTATCCATATCCATGTAAGTTTTGAATAGATGTCTCCCATTCATGTCAATTTTGTAACTTCCAATTGTAGCTAGCTCATTGTTTGTTTATCCATGTGTCTATGTTTACACTCACAGAGATGATGTGAGATCAGGAAGAGGAAGTTGCTCGACCTCAACAACTGGAGGTTCTTTGAGTATGGATGTGAGATCGACGGCAATGTCTAGAGCCATTGGGTTGGTCTCTTTGGTACTTGTGCATCTTCGCTGAGTACCGCTCATCAGCGCTGCATCGCTTGTATCAGCTCTATGTGACCATGTATCGAACCTACACCTCTAGTTTCTGGCTTTATTCTAGCGCTCAGTCGCATGTGTTTTGGTCCCTCGGACCTTGTATCTTTCATTCGGAATCTTGTGATAACTTAAGGGCCTCATTTTAAGGTCGGGGACAGCCTACTTTCTAAAAGTATGGATTGTTCTTTAGGAATATTATAACTGTTGAAGCCGGTACATTTATCTCGTTGAAGTCAGGTAGATAGTTTTTCTGTCGGTGTAGGGTGAGCATGTTCACGTCTTAGTTGACTTTTCTGTCCGCTGCAAATGGCTCGGCTCTCCAGTGGTGTTGGGATGACAGCGCCGGATAGCTCACACACTCTCCGGTATATCTCTATTTTCAGTTGTGTCGCATCCTTAGACTAAATACAAGAGCAAAGAGTAAGAATAAAAAATCTGAGCACGCAGCGCAAAATCCCCAAGCCAAACAAATCAGTGCTAGGAACCCTGTGGCAACGACACAAAGTGGATAGAATTTGGAAAAGTCCCTCGTGAAGGTGCTCAGCCTTGTCAACAGATGTCAACATCAAAGATGGGGGACAAAACAGTCGATCAACACGAAAATCGACCTCTCTACGGTGGGAGCAATTCAAGATTTCTCTTCATGATGGCTGTTCTCAACTCTCTACCGCCAGGAGGAAGTCCAGTCAATGGCTGTTGTCAACTCTCTACTAACTTGACCCGCAAAAAAAAAAACTCTCTACTAACTAGCACTCAGTATGAGAAACGTGAGGCAAAGAAGACTGCCGGCTGTTTGCCGCCTAAAACCAGGGCCGTTGAAGGGCCTGTGCGAGCTGTGTGCTGGCACAGGGCCCCAAAAATCCAGAGCCCCGAATTTGGGTCCATATACGTAGGATTTTCCTATTGGACGCACTTTACAACCTTTCGCACAGTCCTGCAGATCGAGCGATGACCTGGGCCAAGTGTTTCCGGTTTTGGGAAGGGTTTCCCAGCCGGTTTTGTTTTCCTCTTTCTTTTTGGTTTTTGGTTTTTAGTTTTTCTGTTTATTTTTGTTCATTCTTTTCCTTTTGCTGTTTCTTTTCTTTTTCTCTTTTTTCCATTTATCTCCCCTTTTTTCTTTTTCTAGTCGATATTTGTCTTATTTTTTTATTTTTATAAGATTCTAAAAAATCTTCCACTTTTTAAAAAATTTCATAAATATAAAAAATATACAGGAATTTGAAATAATGACCATGTATTTCAAATTTTGTTCTCAAATTTAGAAAATGTACATATTTCAAAAAAACTTCTAGAATTGCAAAAAATGTTCGTGCTTGCAAAATTTGGTCAGAAATTCTAAAAATATTCATGAAAAAGTGTTCAGGAATTTCATAAAATGTTCATGGTTTCAAATTTTTGTTAGATATTTCATGAAGTTTCGTTTTCAACTATTTGTTAACAAATTCAAAATATATTCGCGTTTTTTTAATTTCATGAAATGTTCTATTTTTCAAATATTTGTTCAAAATTTCGCGGTTAAAAATTTGTTCGGGATTCCATTATTTGTTCACAACTTCAAAAGATGTTTCACGTTTTTGAAAAACGTTTTCTCCAGTTTCAATTTTTTGGTTCGCATATGCGAAAAAATGTTCCGGTCTACGAAAAATGTTCCCAACTGGTTTTTCCTGAATTTGACATATATGTCACATATTACACAGAATTATAATTCGATATAAGGTAAAATGTGAATATTAAAATACAACAATCATCCAAATTATAGTAATTATTCAAATCACCAAATTAAACTAATAATTCAATACAAGAATTTTATCTTGTTAATGAAAATATACCGTAGAACGATTGTTCTACGGTTTTGGGCTGTAAAAAAATTCAATACAAGAATTGTCTCGAATACAACAATGATACAATGATACAAATCACACATGAATTAAATGTAATGAATTTTAAAATGGTCGGTTTTACCGCCCATGCCTTTGCTAATGGTGCTCAATGAGATCCTCTTGAAGCTGATAGTGGGTGTTTGTGTCCTCTATCTGCCGGTATGTCTGAAGGAATGCTTGTATGCGGCCAGGGTCTCTAGCTGTCTTTACACGGCTACCGACATTTTGGTAGAAGAACTCCAAATTCATGTCCCTCTCATCTTCGATGATCATGTTGTGAAGAATCACACAACATGTCATGATGTTGTTCAGGGTTCTATTGTCCCAAAAAACGAGCAGGACCACGAACAATGGTAAACCTATATTGCAAAATCCCAAAGACTCTTGAAATATCTTTACGGGTAGCCTCTTGTACCTTTGCAATTTCAGTATGCTTCCTAGTTGCGGGCTTTTTGATGATCTTGACAAATTGATGCCAAACATCCTACAGACATCACCATGTCAAGAGTCCGTTCGGCAAGTGATACGTACGACATCCACTTCACACACATAAATGTGAATCATCTCCTTTTCACGTGCTCACTTGACCCCTTTGAGGATGGTATACTACTTGACACTCCTATCGTGTGCATGCATAGGTACTGCCGGAGCTTCACCATCGACGAGGAGGAGGGTGGGGAAGATCTTCCCTCAAGGGGAAGAGAGTGGCGTCCAAGGAAGCCGAAGCAGAGGCACGACCACAGGGCCTAAAGAGGCCTCACAAGGCCTCTATCGAGCCTGCTTGCAAGCCGGCCCCGTCGGGGAAGTTCACCTTCCCCGACGATTCAAACGACGACGACCTCGCGATGGGGAGGGAGAAGCCTGCACCCCGGAGGTATGTCATATTCACTTTGTCCAACTTTCAGTAACTTTTTAATCAAGATACACTTTATATAGGTATTTTTGTTCTGTCAGCCTAAGGTACGCCTTAGCGGTGACTCCTCAAACAAGCTGCCAGCCCCCAATGGGACGCCCGACCCCGCAACTCCCCTCCAGCTCAAGAGGGCTTGGGGAAGCGATGTCTACTCCGGCCCCTCTTGTCGAAACGCTGGAGGACAGAGGGTCGGTCATCATGGCCGAGGTTGAGACCTCGGTCCAACAGGACAGATGGGACGGAGTCCCCGATGTCGTTCAAGAAGAGCTGGGCCAGACATTGGCCCAGCCGAAGTCGACTCCGGCGCCAGCACTGCAGCCGAAGTTTGGGCTCTGAGGTTCTGCCACCCTGGAGTAAATAGCATAAAACTACTAGTTTACAGGCTAGGGTTCCAAAAAACTACCACTTTTTAATTTTTCTCAGAAAGCTACCAGTCGCGCGGTTCGCTGTTTCAAAAAACCCAAAACACCCGTGACTAGCGATTGAACCATTTTCGGAGCGCCCAGACCCACATGCCAGGCCACCTGGCCACGCGCGCTCACGGCGCGGCCGTTGACGGCCGTTAGCCCGTGCGGCCCGGTCGGAACGGGGGTAAATAAACCCCCTCGGTCGGTCGGGCGCTCCTGCTCACTCACTCCCTCCCTGCTCGCTCACTCCCCTGCTCTCACTCCCCTGCTCCAGTACGAGCTCGTCGCCGCTCGCCGTCTTTGAGATGGCTCGCCGTTGACCTCCTTGCCACCATGCCTTCCTGGAACAACGGGGAAACTAGCTCGAAGGAGGATTGCGAGGTCGTCAGCATGGACATGGGACTTATGGTAAGTTCTTTACCACCTAGGGTTAGGGTTAGGTGCTAGTAGGCCTAGGCTACCGCCATGGATCTTGCTAAGTGTAGTGTTGGTGTTGTAGGATTCTTGTTCAATAGTGAGGCTGGGGTTTGATTGTAGGATTGATGTAAGCTAGGGTTCATCTCAGTACAGTGTTAGGGTTCATGCTGAGTTGGGGATTTTTTTAGTGTTCATGTTTAATGAAGCGTGCAAGTATATTCTGGTGTTGAGTGCAGATTGAAACTAGTGTTTGCTGGTTATTTTGGTTGCAGGAGGAACCAGACACCACTGTGGAGCCCCTTTTCTGTGGCCAACTTGAGCTTGCTCATCCCAAGTGCATTCTGCATCAAATGAGGCTTATTAAGCGTGTTGCTTTTGAAGGGCCTTTAACAGGAAGGCGTTTCGATGGCTGCCCAGTCCAGGTTAGATGGCAATAAACTTTTCTGCTATGTATGGTCACTGATGATTGATATGATGCAGCACTTTGTTTGATATGATTCCAATAAACATTTTTCTGCTATGTATTTTTGTTACTTTGGAAACTTAATCATGGCATTATAATAACTTATCATATCTCATTTATGTTATTCATTGTTAGAAATTATCAAGTATATACAAGTTAATCATGGAACTGAAATAAGCTCCTAGTCCATTTGTAATAACTTATCACATTTATAAATGCAGGAAAATGGTGTGAATTGTGGTGTTGTAGAGTGGGTTGATGGGCCTTGGCCAACTATTCTTCAGAGATGTTTGTGCAAGCTATGGGAGATGTTCCATGAGCAGAACTTTGGAAGGGTACAGGACAAGGAGAAGTTTGAGAAGGAGTTGGTCAGGCTTAAGAGTGAACATGAAAGGGAGTTGGCCAAGCTTAGGACTGAAAATGACAAGCTTTGCATTGAGTACACCAAGCTTGTTGATGATGTATCCAAGATGTTTGATTGGCAGGATGGTAGAGTGGACAAGAAGGTGCACCAGAAACAAGTGGAGGAGGAAGAACTTGAGAAGAAGAAGGAGGAGCTAGAGGAGAAAGCTATGTTGGAGGTGCAGATGGAAAAGCTCAAACTTGCAAAAGAGCAGAGGTGCATTTTGCAGAGCCAAGCTGATATCATCAAGAACACCAGGAAGGCTATGAAGGATGTTCAAGTTGACAGAGATGTTCTTAAGAAGGAGAAGGCAAAGCTTGAGCTTGTTGTTGCTGAGCTGCTGAAAGAAGGGTATGGCAGCAA